TATATATATATAGGAGGAGGAGGAAGTCTGACCTATAAAGTTCAAACTATTTAACTTACTTGTTCCTCTGCCAAAAAAACCCTCCTTCCCACAACAACTTGTGAACCACATGGATCTGATAACTGAACTACGGGCTGAGATACATCAGCTGCTTTTGTAGAAACTGCATTCTGTGTTTGCTGTTCACCTCCTTACTCCTGCTTTACAGATAAGACACTTTTGTCTTAGATAAACAACTTTATAGACTATCATTTGTACGGATAAGCCAATAAATTAAGGTGGTATTCACACCTGATTGTTCAGTAGACTCACTTTGATTGGGGACCAAAACTGCAAGATTTGTTAACATTTTCAATTAGTGCACTGTGTCAAACAAACTAAACCCTGTAAACAACCTGTTCCCTCCCTCACCTGTGGGGGTGCTGCACCAAGACCCACTGAAGGAATCAACATGAAAACCTCTGAAGAAGACACGGAGAACAACTTCCTTCTTCACGAAATGTAAACAAACATGGAGTGATGTCAGATTTTAGTGGCCATAGGATCTTCTTTTTCTTGTTTTTGGCAAATGTATCAAACACTCACTCTTCAACAATGAGCTCAGTGTGAGAGGGAGATGAGGTCAGTGGCGGATCTAGGATTTTTCTGAGTAAGGGGCCATCAAGGGGCCACAATATTCATAGAGGGGCTAAGTCTTTGTTCAACATCCTTTCACACAAATTCCCAGTGTATACATTTTACTCTTCTAACACTTGTAATGTAATGTATTTTTTTTAAAAAGGTACCACTTTACAATAAGGCCCCCCTTATAGATGGCTTTTTAAAGAGTTTAGATAGGTTAGAAATTAATCTGTAAACACTTTAAAATTTATTAATAAGTGTTTATTATGCAATAATTAAGGAAGAGAAAGAGACAAAATTGTCCAGTTTCATTTATTAATGATTTATGAAGTGTAAACTTTACAAATGAATTAATAACCTATCTATAAACTCTTTATAAGCCAAGAGGAGATTGACTGTAAAGTGGTACCAAAAATCTTGGACAATTCTCCTCACCAGTTTTTCATACATTTTATTGTACATAGATAAAATATTTTCAAACACACATGTGAGAAAATCCAGCCATCAATTGTCAATTGAAAGACTTTTTTGCAGGATTGTTCACATTTTAAGAAGAGAAGAAGAATTCTGTGAGCTTGCTTCATTCTGGACTTTACTATTTGACTCATTAGCGCAACTAGTGTTTGAACATGGAACTGCATCCACCATCATCACCCTGTATTACTGTAGTAGCACTGGTTGGTGTTCTTGGTGTTTGTTTGTTTCTGTTTGTTTTTCATTTATTAACTGGAAAACCTGTCACAGTTCCTGTGTGGGGGCCATTCTGTCACACAAATGTTTGCTTTGTTGTTGCTCACCCCTCTGATGTAGTATTTAGCTGCATGATGGATAAAGTTTTACTTCTCTGTGCATCATATACTGAGTTTTTTAGAGAAGAAAAAATACTCACGGGTTCACCTGGGAGACCAGCAGGACCAGGATAGCCTTTTTGTCCCTGTTAATTAAAAAAAAAGCAAACAGATTAGGTCTTCTGAAAATTTAAAGGTTTTCAGTGTTTGGAGTTGGGAAATGTGATAAACCACAGAATTCAAATTAAATATTAAGTTTCGTGCAACTGTTACAAGAGAAAAAAGTTAGTTGGCTACAGTGGCCACCTTGAACATGGTTGAACATTTACACCAAGTTAAACCAGAGGTTTAAGGGTTTCGTCACAGCTAATCATTAAAATAAGATAAAATAAGATAAAATAAATAAATAAATAAACACAGACAATTTGTTATAGTTAATTAAAAAGTAAAAAATAAACCATAAATAGTGTTAATTCCTGATATTTTCTGAAATTGAAATGTAGTCTGAATTATTGATAAAGAATTTTTGACTGTTTTATAACGAGGCTATAATGTAAATAAAATTATAGCAACTCAATAAGAACTTGGATTTTTTTTTCTATCACAATAAAACTCCAATTTTACAAGCCCCCACAGAAAAGACAAAGTTATTAGCTGTGAAATTTTACAGAGTACGTCTCTGTGCTGCTGGCTGCTCAACCCTCGCGCGTGATCTCTTTAAACTTTTTATTGTTGCAGCGCAGCCACTTTGTTCAGTGTTTGTCTAATCGCTGCCACCTCTGAAGTCTGATAACACGATTTAGAGTCCTTTCGCTTTAATAAAACCAGCAAACTAATTAGGCAGCAACACGTGAAACCCAAAGCGGTAATTAATGGTCATCTTCACACCCCGTGATCCCAAATGAGCGTACCAGCTGCTTACTAAGTAAATTAATCTCTTTTTTTTCTGCAATCGAGGGCTGCAGTAGCGAAGATGGAGTTGTGGGAAGTCGTCTCTGAGGAATGAACGAGTCTGTCCTCTCATGTGTAAAGTCATTAGCCACCAGCTGCTTTGGCCTGTCGGCAGCAAACAAGTAAACAACAGGAGGCAAAGGCTGAAAATAATTGTAACTGTGTAAACAAAGTCACGTAAAGCACATCGTCACAAAGTAGACCTGTTGTCAGAATCCCGTTCATTTACTGTAAAGCTATCATGATTTTACTTTGAGACATGTTCATGTGAAGCACGGTTCAAAGCTGTCTGAGTTCACAGACCTCACTCAAGTTCGTGTTGGAAAATACAACGAAATTTCAGAATTTAGAAGTTGGTTTATCGACATGACTGAACGCTGAGCGAGGCGATCCTCCTCTCTTATGCTCTTATATACAGAAAAGATACTCTCTGGTCAATTCTTTGTCTGTGGAAACCATGAGTAGTAATTAAAGGGCCAACATTATGTGTTTCTCAGGCATATATTTAAATACTATACCATAATAAAGTATTTATGTCACCTGTAGTTGTTATTAAAATGATGTTTTTATATTTAAATAAAAAATAAACTTATCTTCTCATCACTTCCTCTTCTAAACGCCTTGAAATTGGCCTCTGTCTCTTTAAAAACCACCTTCCTTCCGCTTCTGTCCTACCCATTTCAGCACGGGGGGTGGGGGGGTTCGCGCACGCATTATGATGCACTTGGCATGTGAAAACACAATTCCTCAAAGGTATTTTGAATCTGAAAAGAGCTTCACTGTGCGAAAAGGAGCTCAGCAGATAGTTTAAGTTTCACTTTCAGTTTCACCCTTTGCTTTGTTACTGCCGAGAGCCTGCAGGAGTCATGGGCAGGGTYTGTGGGGAGGGGGGTGCACCCTGCCATGAGGAAGTTCAGCTTAAAGACACGGCTCAGGGGCGTTTCTGGTCCCCACCTGTCGTTTTGCTCCTCAGCATGGCTTCCTAAAACCGCTGCAGGATTTCTCAAACATGCATGAATGAGTCAAAGCAAGGCTTTGGGCATGTTTTTATGAGATTATAACACTATAACATGATATAAAACTCAAAAAAGTTGATTTTACTTGATATTGCCCCTTTAAGACTGAACATAGTAAGCCTTTAGTCCATTTATCAGCCTATTAGCGGATCTTATCAACACGCTGAGTCAGCAATTCACTCAACTGATCACATTCACACTGTCATTCAGCTGGCAAATTACAGATGAAACTATTTGTTTGGGCTGATTTATTCTGCCTGCCTTTGGCTTTGTTTGCAAGTGAAGGAGGTCACAGCGAGGTCACAAATAATTACTGCAAATGGTTGAAAGTGAGGGGTAGTTCGGGTTTTAAAAGGGTAGCTAAAACAGACAGATCTGACAAAAGGCTGGGCTGAAAGTCTCACGGAGTCAAACTGCTGCTGTCGACTGACAAGAGGAGTTCCCATAATTATGAAAAGAACTTTTTTCAGTCCATCTAATAAGGACTGAAAGATTACATCAGTAACTCAGAGCGGTTTTGCAAAAGAAGTCAGAAATTCTCTATAAACTGAGCAAAATGTAAACAGCAGAAATTAAGGACTCCAGTCTCATTCCTGCAAATTGGGTAGCTAAGGTAACAGGTGGGAATTCAAATATTTGACTAAGATTTGGAGCTTGTTACTAACTCCATTAAGTCCTCATGAGACAACAAAAAAATCAACAGATCGCTATTTATTTATGATTTTAAAGTTTGGTCACACCTCCAGCAGCTTTTGGCCACAGATTGAAGCCAGATGTCAGCCTGCTGGCTAACATTAACAGTCAGACACTGATGCACTCGGGCTCATTATTTCTGTTTATCTGCAGACAGACGAATGAAGCTGCAAGTTGGAGAAATTTGGAAAGGGCCTTTAATCGAGAAAATGAATTTTCTGTGAGGACAAAAGCAAAGCAAAGTAGATCGAACAAAAAGAAACAATGTGTGCATCTAGGACCGACACTACGACTGTAAAACAATGCAAAGGAGGTTCTAAATGAGTGTGTGGAGTAAGGACTACTTTCATGGTTCTGTAAAACAATTGTTTGACACATAATTGGCACCGTCTTACATTCTACATTAGTACTTCCTGTTTAATAAGACCACACAGTTTAAATTAGTGTAAATCACTGCAGAGTGACCCTGCAGCTAACCTCCAGCAGCTGCAGGGTCTCCCCTCCTTCAAGCCAGTAACATCTGGATGACAAAATACATCATTCTTTCATAAGTGTTTTTTTCTTTTGTTACATAAAAATGTACTCCCACCTGCTGAACACTTTTATGATCGAACACCACTAAAAGCGATGGCGGAACGATAATATCTTGGTTTGTTTGTCTGTACTGTTAGAAACATGTGTTAAGAATCACTGGAGGAGTTTTAAAGTGTCTGTGACATGCATATCCTTCAAATACAAAGAGTCAAAGAAAACTTCTTTATATTTAAGAAAATTGGCAAATTACAAATATTTTACTCATTTTGTTATGTAATTTGCATATTTTGTTTTGAACTTGGCTCAGTCAAGTGAAACAGGAAGTAACATCAAATGGGAATCATCTAAGAAAAAGATCTCCCTGGTCTTTGTTTACTAAAACACAGTGGTGGGCAGCGCTAATCCAAAAATAAGCTCCGCAATTTCTAAAGCGCTTATGAAAATATTTAGGTCCGCAATTTCAAAAGCACTTATGCCATAGAAAAACTAGCAGAAGCTAATTTTAAAGCACAAGTTCAATTTCACACTTACTAGCTGGCAACAATTCATGTACTATATATGTACAACACTGCCAACTGGCGATGTATGAACCCTTGTACATCTTAATTCTACAACCGCCGATTGCTGGGGATGTGAGTTCCTGAAACAGAACTTTAGCTCCTGGTGTAAAAATTAAAAAGTTGTTGAGGATTGCTAGTTCGGCTGCTTCTTTAAAAAGTTGTTGAGGATTGCTAGTTCGGCTGCTTCTTTGTCTTTTTCTTTTGTTTGTTGTAGATTTTTCATTAAAGAAGCATCAATAAAGTAATTTTAAAACTGTTTATTGGAAAACTGAAGCGATGCATTCTGGGTACATGACATATTTGATTTGTGACGGGAAACGAAAGCATGGAGTACAGGAAACTATCTTCACTTCAAAATAAGAGCTTGGATTTGAAAGTTTTCCTTGTAGTTGCTCCAGTTGCCCACTAGATGTCTGTCTTTATCAGCATAACGTCTTTAAATCATTTCTGTGTCTTTAACCCTGTTGGCCGATTGCTTCGACCAATTACGTCAAGTATTGAGTTCCAGGGTTTAAACTTTATTTGTTTAAAAAAGGAGCTCCAATTGTAAAGTAAAATAAATCAATACATACAAAATTTTAGTATGGATTACAAACGTTAACTGTTTTTGCTATTGCCTTCTTGCTACGTAAGCAGACACAAAGCATTGTGGGAAATGAGAACTGTGACCGAAAGCAACAGTCAGCAAAGATGTATTGTATACCTTCCCAATAATTGTGTTTATCATGGAAGGGTGCTGTTGGATAGATCACGTGTGTTGTGATTCATTGACAGCCATACCTTCCGCTGTTCAAGATAATGATTACTGGTAGCTAATTAGTTATTTGCGGTACTGCATTTTAATTTTAGAAAGCGCAAGTCCGCTTATGAATTATAAAAATGAGTAAAACCGCTAAAGCGTAAACGAAATTTCTTTGGTCCGCAATTTGCGGATTTGCGCTTTAGCGGGCTGGTGCCCACCACTGCTGAAACAATATATTTTTAACTTGGACTCTTCTTCATTTCTTTGATAGTGACTGAAAATAATCTACAGAAACATCAGATTCTCCTTTACAGTCTGTGCTGTCAGCCATTATAACAATGCTTTGTTCACATTCAGACATTCCCCTTTGACATCACTTCCTGTTACTGTACATGGAATTTCTCAACAATTTTTCATCTCAGCATCATAAAATTGTGTTTTCAATATGTTTTCAGCATTGTATTTCAAAAAATATGTTTATATTTATTACAAAAAAATGTTGTCAGAGACACTTTAATGAAACTTTGGCTTATTGATTAACTTTTGGAATCAGTTCAATTCAAGACAGCCACCACAGCTAATCAGCCTTAATCATCACTTTGCAGCAAACCATTTGAAGGGATCTGGTTTAATTTTGGTGTAGTAGTAGCTGACAGTGATTCACAACAAACACTCCAAGTGCCGCTCAAAGACGCTGATCTGATCTGGTAAAACTCCTCAGTGTTTGGGTTTTACTCTCACATACTCTATGTGAGTCTCCTCTTACTTTACAGTGCAGACTGCTGACAGCATCCCTGACCACCTTTCAATTACATCTTTACGCATTTCACAGTGAGGGAGGCTTATTCTGGCTGCCCGCCAGCACCGAGCTGTAAACTCAGCAGAAAAGGGTCCCATCAAGCTGCGACAGGTCAAACTGTAATAGCTAGAAAGCAAGCTTTAAGTTTCAACTGTGACTGGTCCTAAAAACTCAGCATTATTAAACTTTATGAGGAGTTTGGCTGAACGGTTTTAGGGAAAGTAAAGATAGTAAAAACCAGCTGCAAGCTGTACGACGTCTGGTGGCCTTCAGCAGGGCCAAACAGATCGCTGTGTTTTAATTAGCTGGATCCAAACTGTCAGCTGTTTTTGAGATCACATGTGCGCTCTTAAAGGGGCAATATCATCTAAAATCAACTTTTTTGAGTTTTATATCACGTTATAATGTTATACTCTCATAAAAAAACACGCCCAAAGCCTTGCTCTGACTCATTCATGCATGTTTGAGAAATCCTGCAGCGTTTTTAGGAAGCCATGCTGAGGAGCAAAATGACAGGTGGGGCCCAGAAAGACCCCTTGGACGTGTCTTTAAGCCGAACTTCCTCACGGCACCCTCCCCCCCCCTCCCCACACACCCCGTACATGACTCCTGCAGGCTCTCAGGTGAAAGTGAAACCCAACTGTCTGCTGAGATCTCAARATTAGTTCTCACTCAGTGAAGCTCTTTTCAGATTAAAAATACCTTTGAGGAAATGTATTTTCAGATGCCAAGTCGACTGCATCACCCGCGACCCCACACACACACACCGAAATGGGCGGGACAGAAGCGAAGGTGGTTCTTAAAGAGACAGAGGCCAATTTCGAGGCGTTTAAAAGAGAAAGTGATGAGAAGATAAGTTTATTTTCTATTTAAACATAAAAACAGCACTTTAAAAACAGCTAAAGATGACATAAATACTTTATTATGGTATATTATTTAAATATATGCCTGAGAAACACATAATATTGGCCCTTTAAAGGTTACCACTGATCAGACTCCTACCTGAGGTGATGTAAAGAAAAAGAAAAACTTGGTCTGAGTCTGGAAAAAAACCATTTTAAACATAAATTAGCAGATGAGAAAATCAGATGTTACTCATGGTTTTTATGTTCAACAAGTTCAAAGTGTCATTTCTTTTCATCCATCATACCAAAGCACATTAAATGATTGTCTGACTTAGAGTGAATGAATGCCCTGCTGCTGCTTAAGTACAAACCTAAATAACTTTTATTTATTTAAGTAACAAAGAGTTCTGAATGTGTTCAAGAACTGTTTATTCTTCCAGCCACAAAAAGGAAATGTTGAAAATGAAGCGCAGATTGTCTAACTCTCCTGGGACCAAAAAAAAAGTTTTTGTAAGAAGCCTTAAGTTTCAGTGAGTGAGTTTGTGAGACCTGTGATCTCATGGAAGAATCACAAATAGCAAAGAAAGCAAACAGTCTGTTGTATTTCAGTTTTAAGAATGAGAATATTGAGTTAAATCAGGCTGACACAATCTGTCACATCGCATTAAATCACAGAGGATAACTAAAACGTGAGGCCTGTGCTATTCTATTTATAAAAATCCTAAAATATCCAACCATTAACAAATAAAGAATCTCTGATCGTCATGCAGGGAAATATTTCTGCACATATTTGCATGGATATCTTTTAAAAGAGACGCACATTCAGCAAAAATGACTGCATTGTTGCAGGACTTGATTAAAAAATAAACCACTTCTCATTGTTTAGTTTTAGAATATCAGTTTTCTACATGCAAATAGGCAACACAATGATTAAAAACACATTCAAACTAGTCTGTTTAAACAAACTATCTGTAAAACCAAGTCATTTATTAAACACAGTAGGAAAACCCAACTGGCACAGGCCCATTTGACTCGTGTAATTACTGCGAGGAGCTTGGGAAAAGGCCAGAAATAAAAAAAAAGCACCAGGCCGTTTAGAAGAGCGCTGCTGCAAACCATCAGTCTCTGCAGGGATAACCCAGCAGAGCAGTGTGCAGAGAAAGTCAAATATTGTACATCGTGAGCAGGACCAGATCACAGAACCGATCCACGTTCCAAACTTGTCCTACTTTTCAGAACGAGCTGCTCTCTGGGGAGTGAGTGACATAATGTTTGCAGGGGAGCATGTCAAACTTTTCTAACCCGGTGATCTTGATTTTTTTTATTTCTCCTTCACATGACTTCAACCAATCAGAGGCCTGAGCTACTGATGATAATCAAGATAACCAAAATGTTGAATTCACAGAGGAGACGGCTGCGTTTTGATCTGATGCTTTCCAAATAACAGCTCATCGATGTTGGGTGAGAATCACTGAGAACCACACTTTGTGTGTGCGTTAGCGTGCATTCATTTACACTCAACCAACAGACCTCGCCGCATTTTACTGACTGGAAATGTACCGATGGACTAGGGCTGCACAATATATCACAAATATATCGTTACTGCAATATCAGTGTGCACAATATTCATACTGCAAAGGACTGCTTGGAGTGCAGTAGTTGTTGATGAATGTATTTGAAGAGTTTTGAAGTTTTAGTTTTCATGCCAATGCAGTAAAGTCTCAGCTCACAACAGACATAAATGACATTGTCAAAAATGCTACAGGTCACAGAGTAGGAAGTACAGATAGGGTGGAAAGAAATGGATGACCTATATTGCACTCTTCACAATATGTACAAATATTATCGCCATCGCAAGATTTTCTAAAATTGTGCAGCCCTAATGACAAACATACAGTAAGTGACCAACAAACCAAGTGAACAAGCTGCTGTATTGGTGTCAAAGCAGCGTTTTGCTGTTTTGTTTTAAAACAGTGCAATATTCATACATGTCATCTTGTACGGATTGTCCGTAAATTATAAGGATTTTACGTCATTTTGCAGATATATGGATGCATAGAACAATCTCACGGATTTTTTCCAAGTCTTACGGATTATTTCAAAACCTCATTTTCAAATTTATCTAACGTCAGAGCCGGCAGGATGATTTAAAAAACAATGTTTCGCGGGTGCGAGTTGTATGGATTTTTTGCAAAATTTACGGATTTTTGAGGCTCTTTATACAGGTAAACGTCTGAAGAGGTTGACACGTATGAATATCCATTACAACGACCTTGTCGTACTGATTCTGGGTTTGCTTTGTTTACACTGAGTGTGGACCCTCATGTTAGAATTATCTGAGAAAGCTACTGGAGTAAACTCAAACTGCACCATTTGATTTAGTTCAGGAAAACGTTTGTTGAATATTTAATAGACCATTTTAACGTTTTCCGGGAAAACGCTGAGATATGGGAACGCCATTGAAACTGAACAAATCCAACTAATACGTAAATTCACGCAGTTTGTACAAACTTGGTGTATTTGCTCTAAACTGTGTTCAACTGTTTTTAATGATCATAAATGAGATTTTTATAAATATCTAATCTAAATCTGCTTTTTGAGCTTGCTAAAGTTGCACAATTCCAATGGCATTTTCTCAGTTGACCTGTGACCTGGAAGAGTTAGGCTTCCAGTAGTGGTTTATTGCATTTTTACAGCTTTAATTTAGTGACTTTTTACCTTTCGTCCATTTTGGCCAGGCAGTCCTGGGAGGCCCATTACGCCATGTTCTCCCTAGAAAACATAAAGCTGTTAACTACATGTGTTTGTTAACACCAAAGTCCTTCAAAGTCAGAAAAACCAAATGATCATCTGCATACTTTTTGTCCTTTTAGGGCTTGACCAGGGGACAGTCCAGGATCTCCTTTTTGTCCCTAAAACATAAAAAAAATAGACAGGAAACCTTTTTAAAGCATTAAAAACAACTTTTCCTGAGCACGAACAAGGTTTCGTTACAGTGTTTACTGGATGCTCTCTGTATTGCTACAGCATTTTTTTCCCCCTCAAAGAGAGCAAAGCAGGCTCCAGTTTACTCTGAATCACCACTATCAAAGAGCAACGAGTTCATTCAGTTTAACAGCGAGTCCAGTGGTAGTATTTACACAAACGTGCGCTTCGTTTATGCCTCCCCAATACTTGGTTTACAGCAGGCCGGTGAGAAGTGATGGGGAGTGATTGTACACATTCTTCTCCCTTTTTGGGCAGTGGGAATTCTTGTCAGCGCAGTCTGGGTCAGCATTCAAGGTCCAATTTTTCTTGTAAAAGAGCTGCCCAGTAATCTACGCAATTACAGTGCAAGAGTTCCAGGAAGAAATAGATCCTTCCTGTTTCAGTGCTTATCACAAACAGAAACAACGGACTAGAAACGTTGCAGAGTGGAGTTGGCCGAACACAAGTCAGGCAAATGTTCTGATAGTTCTTATTTGATAAACTGTGCAGCGGCTGCAGCAATACATCATCCTTTGCTGTGACGTGCTTCTCACAGTCCTGCAGCTAAAGGCCGGCTTTTATTGGAGTGTGGGGGTTGACTCTTCGGCAACTTTTACTCTGCGTATAAAAGTTCGGTATAGATGGAAAGAGATGGCTTTTATTTGGCAGTTTAAGTTGACAAAACTCCATTTATAGTATATCTCAACTGTACCTGTGTGTTCGTGTTTCTTACAGCTTGATATTGAAACTTTCTGTTTTTCTTGACTCATTCCTTTACAGTCCAAAGCAACATGCATTGCATGGATGTATTGTCTTTTCACTAGCATTATGTTTTTAGCTTTATTATACTCTCTAAACCAAGGGTTCTCAATCTTTTTGGGACTGGGGACCCCTTACAAGGGTGAAAAATTTCCAGGGACCCCCCTCATAAACCCCATGCTGTTAGTGGAAAATAATTTTCTGTTATTTTAACCCCTAAATGCCATGGTAATATTATTTATTTGTTTGGTTTAGTATGCTTGTTTTACTAGTGCATTATTCCCCATATGCATTTTTCAAAATAAAAACCAACTTAAAAGTTTTTTGAAATTTTTTGAGGAACCCCAAGACACGGTTCGCGGACGCCTGGGGGTCCTGGGACCTTAGTTTGAGAACCTCTGCTCTAAACTACTAAAGTTTAAATAAAAATAATCTATGCAGGTTTGGAGATTTTAGCTGGGATAACGAGAAGGCAACATATTGGAACAGAGAAATCAATGAGTATTTTCACTGAGTAGAAGTAATACTTGAAAAGCTGCAGGTGAGTGATGAGCAACAGGTGGTGCTAAGGTCATCAGGGACAAAATAAAGGTAATGAGGACACATACTAGGGCAGTAACAAATAACCCACACTTGCAAATTTACCCTAACCCACGAGGTTATGTACAACCGTTTGTAAAAATCACGGCCGTTTTCTGAGTGCACATGCTTGCAAAACGCATGTTTAAGCTGTGCAGATTGTTTCACTGGATGCCTCTGTATCGTACCTGCCTCAGATGGTTCGGTACCCACCTTAGCAGCCGCCCATCATGTTTATGATTTACTGAAGACGGATTCAGTATCATCTTTGTTGTTTTCTACTGCATAAATTCATGGCAAAAACAGTTTCCTCACTTAAAAGTCAAGCATTTTGAATTATAAACTGTCACTACAGTGAATGGTGAAAAATGAAGTTTTGGACACATTAGCATACATGAGCAATCATAATAAAATGACAGGACCAGTTAGAGTGACTTAAAATAAAGTTCTCAGTTCATTTGAAGGACTGAATTAATGAATATGACGTTCCAGGAAATGCCGCAGTTCAGTGATGTATTTTTACTAGTTTTAGAAAAACGAGGGATACTAAAAATTGGGCTCTCTTTCATTGTTACGTCGATGATACCCAGATATACGTCCCGCTAAAGAAAAAGGAAATAAAAAGCCTGGATGGCTGTGAATTTTTTTAAGTTTAATGAAAATAAAACTGAGGTGATGGTCCGAAGCTCCACTGAGACACCTGATCTAGATGTTGGTTCGTTGACCCAGTACATCAAGCCAACGGTTACTAATCTAGGGGTAAAAGTTGATGCTGGACTAAAGTTAGAAAACCACACCGGAACGGTTCTAACATCAAGTTTTTACAAGTAAAAAGCCAATTCTTTCTCAGAAACATTTAAAACAGTAGTCCACGCTTTTGTTGCCACTCAGCTGAACTACTGTAGTCCTGTATCTCTCAGCTTCAGAGGGTACAGAATTACTCTGCACGTCTTTTAACTGGCACTAGAAAGTTTGATCATATTTCTCCTGTTTTAGCTTCCCTGCACCAGCTGCCTATATGTTTTAGATTCATTTCATTGCTTTTAAATCACTTTATGGTTTCGCCCTATCTGTCCTGACTTGCATCCTTACAGACCCTCTCGATCCCTCAGGTCAGCTGATCAGCTGCTCCTGATTGTGCCCAAGAGCTCAGAGGTGACCGTGCTTTTTCTGTGGCAGCTCCTAAATTATGGAACGACCTTCCTTTGGACATCAGACAGACATCGTCTCTGTCGGTTTTTAAATCCCTTCTTAAAGCCCATCTCTTCTCTCTGGCCTGTGAACACCAATTGTAGCGTTGATTTTTTAAGTTTTTATTTAATTTTATTGATTGTTTGAGTAAATGAATGTTTTATTATGTGTACAGCCCTTTGGTTTAAAGTGCTCTATAAATAAAGTTGATGTATGGTAAGGGAGCTGGTGCACAAAGACATGAACTCTGTCGACCAAAGAAAATACCTAATTCCAGACAAATATCTACGATGGGTTCTAGTCTTTGTGGAAAATTTATTAAGGATAGTGAAAAGGGGGAGAGAGAAAAAAAAAACGAAGATTTTGCCAGCATTGTCCTGCTTTTCATTACGATAATTACATACAGAGCAGAAGACTGCTAATGTTAGTCGTGATTCCTCGAAGAGAATGACAGACTTGGGTACTTTTCGAATTTTGGTTGTGGAATCTGCGTCTGAAGAGGATTCCATGAACCCTCCGGCTTACCAAGTGCAGAACTGGTTACAATCTGGATGGTTTTAATGAAGTGCAGATTGGAAAATATTGGGTTGTTTGCGAAGTGAGACGACTTACCTTCATTCCAGGAGGTCCAGGATGACCAGGATTTCCATGAGGACCAGGAGAACCCTGAAAACAGAGGCAGAAAACATCTATTCAACAGTGTTTTTGTGTTTTAAGTGAGCACAGATGCTATTCCACCATGTTTGTGTGTGTGTGTGTGTGTGTGTGTGTGTGTGTGTGTGTGTGTGTGTGTGTGTGTGTGTGTGT